ATATATTATTTTTATAGAGTCAAATGATTAAAAACGAATGTAAGCCATAATTCTTCACCAAAAGTGTCTTTAAAACTATAGAATGTTCCATTCAACGAAAGAAAAGCCTTATTTCTTTCTTTTAGATATAACCAAAACCCTTCAAAGCCCACCCCTACATAGTACATACTTTTCAAAAGGGTAAATGTTGACAATGTCCAGATTGACAGTTTACCCCCCGTGTCATTCAAAAAAATTGTAAAAGGCTATCTTTAGGAACTCGTTAGAAGATCATAAACATGTCAAAGCAGCCGTAGAGTGATTAATGAAATTTGACCTCCACCTTTTGGGAACGCACACCCATCACGAGATGGGGACAATTGAAACAGTTAAATCTTCACTTCCCCAAAATTTGTGCCAATAATTAGGAATGATAATTCTTCTATTCTCCCTTTATATGCGCCCCCTACTTCGAAATTAGACCCTGGAAATGAATAATTGTTTACGTTTTACACCGGAGTGAATGGATAAACATAATATTGTTTGGCCTTAAGTGGGCACAAATACCGCGTAATTAATAAACAGTGAGAGTATTTGGCAATGTTTTACTACTTTCAAGAGACTGAGACGCATTCGAAAGTGGAAAGTGAACGAAATCTTTGTGAATTTAGGAAGCGCTTTTACTGCTTCCCGTAGAATCACCTTATAGTTATGAGCTTATTACAGGCGATTATGCCCCAAGATTAATAGTGCGTCACAAGATCCCCCAATCTGGAGCTATTTTAAAATAGTTTAAATTACTTGAGGACCAGGTACAAGAACCGCAGGCTATCACCTGTTACCTGTGTTGCTGAGGTTACTAAGAAGAAATTTAAAGATGACATCCACCTCTCCCCAATTCCCCTGATATTCATAGTATCAAGGAAAGTGAGTGGTTTAACATGAGGCTTACTTCAAAGTCAAGTAGTTTAAGCTGCCATTATTGCAAATAACCGCTTTCACAAGAAGGACCACGAGTACAATTATGCGAGAAGGCATTTTTGTAATGGTTTAATAAAATAAACAGGCAAATTGTAGTCGGCTGATTAAGACAGAGGAGTGAGACTATTTAAGAAACAAATGTGCGATTGAAATGTAGCATTTACAAAGCAAAAAAAAATCATAATGAGAACAAATACTTTTGCCCCTGGGCTCTACTTTAATACTTGGAAAGGAACATAGTTAGAAAGTGGTCATCGAAGTGAACGATTTCACCTACAGACCCTTCATTTTACTAATTAAATAAAGACTTAGGAAAGTCCAATGGTTTTTACACTAGTTTTTATTAATTACTTTTGTTGATTCCGATCGCTTTCTCAATTTCTTAAGTGTAGTGACTTTTTCCCTAGAAAAGTCAAAGAAAACACAGGACAAAGTGTAATCATAAGTCAAACCACGTCTAATGAATTTGGAAACCTTTCTCATACTTGAATGCACATGATAAAAAGGATTTTTGGAATGAATATAGGAATAACAGCAAAAGAGCAAACAATTTGGACAAGCAATGAGTTTTCAGTCAAACTCTTTTACAGCCCTTCAAACATTCAGTGCAGCAGGACACGCTAACGCTTGACTGAAGTAGTCACGCACACGATTTGCCGCAAAAAATCTTGACATGGCAGTAAATTTTACTTTTTTTTACTGGTACGGATTTAAAGAGTTCGCCGTTCCAAAGACAACGCTTCAGCAGAGGGTTGAATTTGCATGTTCTATCGGTATGGTCAACATGTATCACACCGTGACCTTGTTGACACGAAATTACCAATTTCAGAGTAACTAAAACCTCATTTTTAAAAACATTAATATCCTTTTTTGGGGGAAGAGGTTTTGCTGACTCCTAGAGAAGTGAATAAAATTACAGGAAAAAGTATAATTTCTAAATAGTTTTAGTCTATAAAAAACTCTGACCGTTTAGCATGACCACCATCTTTGACAGTGAAACAGAAATACGTGAACCGCTTCCGAGGGTATTTTTTTGCATAGCCCAAAAGTTATAAATAAATAAATACTTTATTTGGATTGCACCTAGAAGTACATTTACAGATTTTAGGCACTTGATTTGGAGGGGATAGATGAGAAGATGAACTGGCCAATTTATTAAACCAAAAAATGCACAGCGTAAAGAATGGTTGGTGTGGGCTGAATATTTAGTGCATTAAGGACAGGGATGATTATCTAGGTTCATTCGTTTAATTCGAAGTAAAGGTTACTTTTTCTCGATCACAAGTCTCATCCTCCTTGGCCTATCCTTCAACCGCGGACAATTTAGCATCCGCTAATCAACAAATAAATAGCGATTTTTAGCCTAAAAAATCTTCTCACAGGTAAAAGTAAAAACATACCGCCTTTCTCGTGACTTGTTTGTGCCTAAGCAACTTCGTCTCATTGGCTGTGGGCTCAATGCCTCCAGTGTAGGCGGAAAGTTTGTGAATCACTGAAGGTAAGGGTGGACGTGTACCGTATTCGTGCTAAAATTAACAAAAATTTATGTTAATTCGTCACTTTATAAGATAGCTAATCCATTTTTATTCATCCCAAAAACACGGTTAACTGATCTATTAACCACCCAGAGGGGAGTAATGCATAAGTCATCTGCTCATTTGTTCGCGCCTGCAGCAGACGCACCGCAATGCAGATTAGCGTAAAAATTTATTCCTTAATGGGACAGTGAAGTGCTCCCATAACTACGCATTTGCCTGTCACCTATGGGTGTGATGATGCTCCTCTAGACAAAAAATATACACAATTTATTGAGGGGTAAGAAAGCACTACGTTTGGACGCACGTGAGGATGGGTAATACACCCATCACCTTCTTCGGACAAATTCGAGACCACGGAATATTTGAAAAGGCTTTGTACTTGCTTTGGGGACTAAATACACTGCTAGTAGGTCGCAACGCAGGCATCGCTCAAGGGAGTAAACGGATGAAAATGCATGTGAAGGTTTGCTCCGGTATTACGATTAGACAGTGAAAACGGAACCAAAACGCCGCCTTCATTGTCATAGTTCATGAGTCACCACACATCTCGGCCAGATGAATCACCACAGTTTCGAAGGAACCAGTAGACGGACGAACAGAGCAATAGATCATTTAATAGAGAATATTTATTACTTTCCCAGGTTAATGTTCCAAGCGCTTTAGGTGTGTCGGGCAAGTACGTTTGCCCCTATATTTCAAGAGTCGATATCCAAAGAAATAAAAGTAATTTAAAAAAAATGAGAAAATTGCAAATTTTAAATATGTGGAATGTCGATGCGACAACATAAAATAAGTGCATGACCAATAACGCAAAAATGACCTTAGAGAAATAAATATAGAGCATAGTACATGAGAAGGTGTTTATGTCATTTGACTTGTCATCCTTCAGGTCATTGGATCCACACGAGCTCAAATAGTGTAATTCCTCCATTCCTAATTGAGTGTGGAGCGCGTAAAACGATTAGGAACTTTTTTTAAACTCCGATTTGAGCCCTTTGCCAAAATAAGCTCCAAATGAATCATTGCGCTAATAGTCAACCTTTTTCCTGACTTGGGCGACCATCTGTCTTTATCAAGAGCCACTTGCTTTGTTTCCCAGGTAGTGCGCAACCAAATTCATTCAAATGTCAGTGCAAATGGCTTATTGTGTGGCACTGTTATTTTTTCTAAAAAGAAACCAATACCATTTTTTATCAAAAGTTGATCAAACAAGCTACACATTTACCTCACTTCGCTGTCAGTAATTTGAGGTAGCTAACTGTAGCAGAGCAAATTTCTTTCACACTCTAGAGATGGTTGATAAAAAGACTCGGTTCCTGATGATAAACGACAACAATACATCAATTGTGGGAGAAATTTTTCTGGTCGGTTTAAATATTTCTTTTGTCTTTTAGTAATTTTCCAAGCTTGTAACATTTATCAAAGCGCACAAAGGTAGTTTATTTAACAATTTGAAGGTGATCAAAAAAGAGCCACAAGCAATCATGGAAAATGGCAAGATAAAGACAACAGATTCAAACGAAAACAAAGCATCCACTTTGACAACTCAATCTTCAATCAAATCTCCTTACCAAGTATTTCATGTCTCAGGTAAATCGAGCTATTATTTACAAAGATTTGACTAAAAAAGAAATTCATTTAACGCTTAGCTGCAATCAAAACGAGAAGACAAGGCATTTTAAAGGAAAAAAAGGACGATATGGCACCATTCATATTAAGCTGCCTATTTATTTCAAGGGCTGAGTGGAGTCGATGTAATGTGCAATAATAACTGGAAATGAAGCAATCAGTGATTCTCTAATGTTTAGCTTCTGGTTCTGCGTAATATTTCTGAAGTAAACGCAGCAAAAAAGATTCATAGAAAAACTAATTTGGCCATTTACAACTCCTGCGTACTTAACTGTTTTCAAATTTGCTTATCCCAAAAACCATCTATAGCCGCTGGTGCATCCTGCAACCCCACTTGAACGTGCTTTAGACTTAAAAAAAACTACTACGAAACAATTGTTTCAACTTTGCAAACACTGCAGTTAGAAGCGTTTTATCTCATCGTTTAAGCTCTGCCCAGACAAAGCTAAAGCATTTTGCGATCCTGATTAGATAGGCTAAATAAATCGTGATATCCATTGCCTGGAAAGGTCTAAAAATAAATCTAGAGAAAAAAATTTGGGTAGCAAGTATTGCACACATGCTGATAAAAGTCTGGTCACTATTCAGCAGTAATAAGAAGAATCAACGCTGCATGCTAGCAGTCCGAACGACCTTTGTCCATGCTAAATGCCAGGTGAAATAATTTCGCAATTACAAGACTATACACAACTTGGCTTGTTTACGCTTTTTTCTTACAAAGAAATGCCAAAGCTAATTCACCGGCTATGCTATTGCATTTTCCGTGATATGAGAGGGGTAGTCGTAATGCTTATAGAGGGAATTCAACTGGAGTTTTATGGCGGTAGCAGTGAATATTTTGTGATGATGGAGTAAAAGTGAGATACTACAAAAATGGTGAGTATTGAAACACAAAAAACAGTGGCATTATTGTTAGAACATCAAAGAGGTAATGAAACTATGACATTTTAAATGGAGAACCGTAAAACTTAAAAAAAAAAGAAACAAAGTCATGGTCTTCTTCGGTTTGGCAAAAGGGCCAATTATTTGAAAGATCACATGGAGTTGAGAATGAGCTTGCGCTAAGTGTATAGCGGTCGAGTGCAGTCGAGTTTATAAACAATGCAAAAAAACTATTGCCACAACTATTGACCTCTCGCAAATAATAGAGCAGATATAAATAAACCAACGAGAAAACAAGGGAACAAAACACGCCAGGAGATCTTGCGATTGACAACAGATGAGCATTGGTTGAAAAGGAGAATGTCTTAGTAATAATTCCTAATAGAGATTGTTAAACAAGCACTTCATTGGACGTACCTCTCAAAATAAGGATCCGGATGGCTGTGGTTTTGGAGCTTCAACTTAGCATTCAAAACTTTTCCATGTAGTGACCCGATGTGCACCTTAACTTTGTCTCCGGGATTTATACTGCATCATGATAGCATAACCCTTTAGTCATGCCAGTATCCTTCTAGCCCTCCTCTACGTTAAGAATAGAACCTAGTCCATACTAGTTGCATTGGTTGTGGCAGCACATTCACTCACTTCAAAAAGACAACTGTCTCGATGTTTGTAGCCGACTATCGGACCTTAACTTCCCGACACTGGTAGCTGAATGAAGCCTAGATAGACGACTGGGCATCGTAGAAATGAGAGCAAGGTGGCTCTGAGAATCCGATGCAAAATATTTACTCCAAGAAGGTAGGTTAGATTTTGCATGATATTAAATGAATTGCGATTGGCATATAAAATGTACCGGTAGAAAATAAGCCTTCCCTGAGTAGTATGAAGCCTATCAGTCTCTTCCTATGCAATTCACAACCAAGACAGATTTACTCCAAATGCTAATAAAGTCGATGAGATACACAAACGACATTGGAGCCTACACCAAGCCTTCACAAGCATTCATGGACTACTATTCCTAGTGGTTTTTAAATCATCGACAGCTTTATGATGGTTGACGCTGAGGAATGACCGAGGAGGGTGCCAAAAACAACAATTAAAAGAAGGGAACCATAAAAAATTCAAAATTTTGTTTAACTTTATGTTCAACTACAGAGGCAGTCCAACTTGGCGCCATGGCCTACAGGCCGTATCCACAGCCATTCAGTCCTTATGTTATTAGTATTTTGGAACGGACAAAGTAAAGTAAGGCTCGGTAATATAACTCATTCAATCGCAAATTTAAAGTGTAATCCATTACTTTCAAGCTTCTTAAAATTGTCCAAAAAACCAAAATGTATTCGACATAATACTTAAAGATATATCTATCATATCAGATACACTGAAAATTATTTTCTTACATATTCCATGGGATACAAATAGCGGCGTAAATTATCAAAAGGTGTCTGAAGGGGGATTGTTGGGGATCTTCACGCACAACATGATATCGTTACCATTTTTTGTCGCATTAGGGAATTACGCTTGTAGATGCGTTGGCCAGAGATAACAAATTCTTAATGCACAATGCCTGGGAAAATCGCACAATAGTTGTCTTCGTTGTAGGGGGCAAAAGTACTTCCTGCTAAAGGATTAATTTTTTTGTACAACTGGGAAAAAAGACGATGGCATTGAGGTCTACAGGGTGTCATTAGGAATTTTAAAAAGTTTCTTTGAGAAGTGCTAGAAATGTAAGCTTACAAGCAAGCAGTTACAAGAATAAAAATATATTCCTGATATTTTATTACCTAGTTATTACGCCGTTTCTTTAGGGACTGCTTTTAAGTGTGTTTTGAAGCACTTAGAATAATCCTCGAAGGAGAGGAGGAAAAGTGCCCCCAAGAAGTGGTGAAGCGGATTCTATTAACGCTCTCCTACCGCCTTTTGACCACTGAAAAGTGGCGCTACCTCGGCCAGGTTGAAAATCAGTCAAATGCAAAAGTTATGCAGAAATTCGCATCAATTTTGTCCAACACGATCAAGATAACAAGCGTAGGTGTACCACTACCAGAACACGTAACATCATTTCCACGATGAATTCCCTGGAGTATATTTCATACAAGTAATGCTATTTTATAAACTTTAAAGCATTATTAGAAGGTATGGGGTGTTTTAAATCAAAATGTGAAAGGATATTAAAGCACAATCAAGTTTACGAGGTTTAATATGATAACAGTAGCAAAAAAATTGAAAAACTAAAGAATTAGCAGTTTCATGAAATTATTTTTATAGTTCTTTCATTAATATTCTCATCCGAAAGAACCAAGAATGGATTGTACATGCCATTTTGTTCAGGCTGGTTACATGCTAGTCAAGTAAAAAAGAAATGCAAGGCATTACAAATTAGGCATGGGGAACGGTTCTTGAAGACTGGTTTTTTGGGACATTAGAAAACACACTGAAAAAAGCTACTACTGTCAAGGTAACTTTAGGTAAATGTATGTTCCCTATTAATTAGGCAAGCTGTCATAACTACGGAGTGTTAGAAAGTGGACTGAGAGATTGTAATAATACATGATTCGCAAACGAATGAGGTTCATTAAAATGCCATCAAAAATTGAGTTGTTTTCGATTTCTACCAATATTTTTCTCGGTTTTCTAACGCATTTATGACTAATTTGGCGTTTGAGTAGCTGACAACTGGCTATGAGTTACCACAATTAACGATGAGATTTGGTATTAAAGGTTTGTTCCCTTTCATTTAAAATGCTTGCAATATCTTACAGAAGAATAAACTTAGATTTTGGAGGTTAAAACGGCATTATTGATAAAATGTGGCTTATCGAGCTGGTGCGAGTAATATATACGATTAAAGGAAACAAAAAACACCTACGACGACTACTTCAGCTTCTTTTCAGTGCTTACAGTCTACCATCAGCAGAAGTCACGGGCCACTTCCTCCAACCACATCTACTACCACCACTACTGATTGAAGCAGAACTTTTGTGCTGTCCAACTAATTGAATAACATAATTTAATAAATCGATTGATTAATAAATGGACTACATAATTACCTCAGCTTAACAGGAAATGTTACCCAGTTTTTTAATCCTTTATCCATTGAAAAATTAAAGCGGCACATCTGGGAGCTCGCACACTACCGAACAATGATTTGCCATTATTTGAACTGCCAAGAAAAAGGAACAGGCTTTTGATGATGGGCTTGTTACTTATGCTGGCTTCGTTTGTCCCTTAAAAAACCCCCTTGATGTAAAGTTGTTTCGACACAGAGAAATCCAAATAACCGCAAAAGTTTTAAACAAAAAATTGACACTTCAATTACGAAGTTGCTGTCACTACGAAAATGCATACATGCACATGTTAAAATTTGAATAAAATGAGCAGAATGTACGTGTTAAGGTGAGATAAAAGAACTTCTAACAGGACAATTTAAGGATACTATTCCTTTTCAAGCAAAATGTGAATTTACGATTCATCCATCAATAACTCAGTGTGACGCAATATGCTTCCTTTTTTATGGCTCACAGACAAATAGTAAAACATGAAATATGCAATTTTGGAGCTTACTTCATAAAGTCCTAAAACCCCCATCTTCGTCCATTCCCTCAATATCGTCATCAATTGGAACCACGACATCATCAATTGGACTGCTTTCAGGTACTAAAAGTTAATGACAAATCTACAGTCGGTGAAGTAAAGAACATTCTAGGCGGCAGAATGAGAAAAGCTTACAATAAGGGAGTGAGCGACTGCAATTATGCTGGAATTTTAGGTAAGTTGGGTCAAAGAAGTCATACTCTTGTAAAAAAAATGCACATTTCAAAGGCAAAGGCATTGTCAAAAGCTTTGGAATTTATTAAACGCATGCAAATAGGTTTTCCAAAAGAAAAACAAGGTCAAATAATGCAACAAAAAAGGTTATCCTATGCTAACAAAAGTTTGAAATATCATACTATCAATGCAGAGTAGCAAAGCGTTAAAGGCAGAACTGTGCAGCACACTAGGAAGCAAACGCTAATGAGCGGGAAATATATATATGAGGGAAATACGGAAATTGTCTGAAATAATAGCAGTAACAATTTACCTCGAGCTAAATTTAGGGAAGCAATAAATATCTCGTTTAACAATAAAAGTTGCAAGCTTAAAAGGACAACTTAAATAAATAAAAAACCCCATCAATACTAACATATTCAGAGCTCCTGACAACGTATGATACTACATATATTTGTAGAAAATCAAACCAGTACACAAAGTAGAATCAATAAGGTTAAGAGACCAAAAAGAAAATGCCAAAAATATTTAAATTATACCAATTGTATTAAACAAAACATCCCAAGTACATAAGCATTTATTGTAGAAGTAACAAGCAAATAAAACATCAAAAAGTAACGATTAAAAATTAAAAGGGTTAAAGAGAGTGGTAAAGCCACACAAAATAAGGAATAAAAATTTGGTCACAGTTTCCAATAAGGCAGGTAAAGGAAATGGAAGGCCCCAATTTCAATAGTTAGTAAAGTTCAACCGCATTGCACAAAACTATGAAGGCTGACTTAACGATACTATCGATGAGATTACACCATTAATGGGAAATTCAGAAGTCAGTGGATAGACTGGAAGGGTAAAAGAGTACCAACTTACATTCCTCAATTTTTCCCTTTTCAGCTGCATGATCCCGACCTGATACGGTCTTTCCCACAAACGAAACGACACTGAATTTCTTTGATAGAACTTCACTGCTCATTTTCTGCTTAATGCCCAACGTGCCGACAGAAAACGGACGTAACTTCAAAGCAGGCACAATTTTGTGAGTTTCTGTTCAAGGTTACGGTCAGAGTAAACTAAGCAAATGTGAATAAACATAGATTAAATGATTTACTAAACTTTAACGAATTTTGTTTATCTACACCAGCTGTAACATCTGAAGATAACTGCTGTTTGCTAGAGCTTCAAAGCTAAAGGATTACAAATCATTTAAGACACAACAACAAAATATTTTTAGATAATTTAAGACCTTACTTTGCGTGATGCCTGCAACCTGCTTATTATCAGGTAAATAATAGCACAAGAGATAATTTGGAACTGCAATTTCAATTGAGAAGACGAAATAACTCACTCATATTTAACACACGCTCATTGGCTTAAAATGCCTTTGGGAAGCAAACAAATGATGATAAATAGATCAGATAAAAAACACAAAAGAACTGTAGAAATTAGCAAGGTTTGACCGCTTTTAACGATTAAATCCTTGCCTTTTACGCAGTTTCCGTGCAAAATTTTTATGCGACATAATAAGGGAAAGGTAGTAATTGTCTTATATACATATTTTAGTTGTAGTTTCTAAGAGTTGAATTACCTAAAAATAGAAAAGAGATTAGACGAAGAATACATTTGGTATAGGGGGGCATTTGGGCTACTGGCATAGCCCAGATGCCATCCCACTAGGAGTGGTACAATGGCCAAGTCAGTAGTGGATCTTTACCAAAACTTGGTCTTAAATAACCTCTGCACTACATTGTTTGTTAAAACGAAATACTTAAATTGGGTTTTACTTCTACCTTTGTTGATGTGGGCACATAATCCCCGATGACAACTCTTCGGGTAGGCGGCATGAACTTTGAGATATGTCGGTTTAGTTGTAAATAGAAACGTTACGTGTTTATAGGTCTGGTACCATGTCAATGGTAAATGAAATCACGCCACCTCTCAAAAAACGATCAGGATGCACTTCCGCACTGTTTCATGGTCTCTGTTAATGCTTATAATTTATCACTAGCTTTGTTTTTATCGCGCTTTTTGCGCTCTCTTATAGGCGATTATCTCTGGGGGAAATATGCAAACTCTAGAATATGTCCTTTATATTTTGAGAAAAGCTGGTTTAGCAGTCCCTAACTTTAATAAAATTGAAACTTACCGCCTTTGATTTTAAAAGGTAAGATTTTTTTATAAGATTAAAATTTTATGTTTTGTATCCACATTTTATTTCATAAAGATAAAGTGGATCTCTTTAGCCTTTAGGGAGTGCGCGGTAAATTTGAGTGCGGGCGTTGCCGGTGTTTTTTAGTTTGGTTCTATTAGTGCTGTTTCTCAGTAAGTCATGGATGAAATACCTTAGTGGGGCTGTGGGAACAAATATTTGTTAATTTTACCTTTTATGAGAAGCTCGGTTTTTGATTTAATTACGTAGTTTCCCTTGCTACTGGCATCGGGCCGGGTTTGAGCCGTCATTCATTTTAAATAGCTACTTAGTGGGTTTGATTTTCACATATTTAACGTCCTTTTTATTGAACCACATAGGTTCCACCCTTTCCTCTGTGTTTTTTGAAATTCGGGTTTTGGGTGTTTTGAACCGTTTGGTGAAATTTCCCCATAAATATATTTGAAATTTAGAACCTTACTGATACGGAGCATTGCTGAAACCCTGATGTCCTCATCCTTTTTGACTAAAAGGCGTAAGTATCGTGCTACTTCGAGGCATCATGGTCTCATCTTTTAAGTGGTCCTGTTCATTGTGTTAAGTTTTTTCTCTATCAATCTTTTGACTCACTTTAGGTGATGTTTTGAAGAAGAGATCTTTACCTGGGGGCAAGAGTACAACCGCGAACAAGAGTGAATTGGACATTGCCCCTCCAAAATCAAACGAAGAATTGCGCGGACTCACCAAAAGTGTTCTTCTTAAAGGTCTGTCTGTGAAAGCCGGATATGTCCATTTCAAAAAGTCTCTTCCTGTAACACCAAAAAATATCACTTTATCAACTCGATTTGGCCAAAAAAATGCTCTCCTTACTTTTTCCACCGAAGAAGACTGCTCCAAGGCTTTCGACACCTTAGAGTCCTTTACATATGATGGACAAAAAGTTAGTTTCTGCAATTCTCCTGAAGCATCATCATTGTGTGCCTGTTGTCATTAATGTCTTCGCTTTACCTTGATTGTAGCCTTTGGTTGTATTTGTTCGACCTCGAGCTACAGTTTCCAAGGTGGCTCCTGACAAACCCCTTTCAACTGAATTCTGTCTCGACATCGCAAATATTCCCTTCTTCATTACCTTAGAGCAGTTGAAAGCGGTCTTTCCTAAGGCTGAGGCTATACTTATGCGGTGTCGAAAAGATGGAAAATTCAAGGGGTGAGTTCATTTTTACTTATACCCGTTTCAGTAGAAAATGCCTCCACTTTGTGCATTTTAGATTTTAACTTGTAACATCTCATTCGGAATAATCCTATTATGTTCTCATTCATCTCATTTATTTGATTAATACCTAGGGTTTTTAACTGTATTAACCAGCACATCCACCTTCATTTCCTTTTATCAATCTTTAAAATTTATGTTATATTTTCTTATTTCGACTGTTCGCCGTTAGGCGCATGAGAGGTTTCTTCGTCTTCTCTATAGAAGAATTAATGAGTTCCAAACCGTGATAATATTTATTGCAACGGTTGCGCCTTCCCATATTTAATTCATTCGTAAATATTACAAGAGGAGCAGCAGGAAGTATGTTGCGAAATCGCCATTGATTCCGGCATGAAATCGTAATATTCCATTAGATTTGCTTTACTGAGGATAGCATTAAGTCATCAAAAGGGGTTTAGCTTTTATAATTTGTGAAATCTCCGGGATTTTTTCATCCTCTGAGATTCTAATTTGATACGGAGTTCCACTTCATCTTAATTTAAAAATTAAACACTCGCGTGTGTGTTTGTGGAGGAGTCGATTTGGTCTGTTGTGGCGGTTGATTTGTAAGCCACTTTTTACAGAACGATAGGTTCTGCCTTCTTCGGTGAAAATTTTTTGGTAATCGACCAAGAAGCAACCAAAGTTTCTCGAGGACTAGCCATGTTCCGAATTTGTACTTCGTTATTTTGCTCGACACTTTATTTTCATTTATGAGTAGCATAAATTCTGCCTTTGTAAATAAGTAATGATTTTGCTTTATCTTGTCCATCTTTCCTAACATTAGAAATCTCCGCTAGAGAGAGAAGAATCCGCTGAGGCTGCCCATTTTATTGCTTTATCTTCATCAAGATAGTCTTTCTTTCCCATGGGAAGACTTTATCAGTGTTGTTAATCAACTTTGGTGAAGTTTTTAACGCCTACATTCCGCCCACTTTTCTTCCATTCGTCTTGCCGATTGGACATGTCTCTTCAGCAAGGCTGCAGCGGGGTGCTCAGCAGACTGTATAATCCCCTTAAACTCAGTAATTGTAAGACTTCGTTACCAATTAGCTTTGTAAGTTTTACTGTGAACGAACCGAGCAAATATTCTTAAATAGAATCCGTGGGATTTTTAGTAGTATGAATAGCATCAAAGCGGTGACAGTAAAGCAAAACTTTCAATTATGAAAATGGTGTAAGTTTGCCAAGCACAGAACCAGGTCATTTGGGCGAGGTAATTCAGGTTGTGCACGTTGTTTAAGTCGTTATTTGAAGTTCCAAATAAACCTCCAGTCCAAAATGCTTCGTTTCCAGAGGAAGTAAGAAGATATTGTGATTTCCCGAAGCTTTGTCTACCTCCACACTCCTCTCTATTACTCTGCGTGATGTTATCAAAGTTACTAGGAAATATTCCTCTTGCTGATTTAGGTTAAAAACTGGTAGGATTGACATCTCTTAACGTAAGCCACGCCCGTAGATATCGGTGGTGTTTGTAAGTTTCTATCAGAAGTAGTTGGTAAGGCAAGCCTATCGTTTACAATTTTTCGCTTAGGAATAGATTGTGCGGCCGGTTAATCCCTCCACTTTTCCCATCTTGTGCTAAAAACGCAACCCTTTTCCTTAATTATGAAGGCGAAAAATACAAAAACTACTTTGTACTGCCGCAACTTATTCCTAAATATTGTCTGTAATTTTGTAATCACAAATGCATAATCACATCCTTGGAAATCATGAAATACACAAGTAAGTAAAATAAGTGGTCGCGTGTAGGCCTCACGTGCGGAAAACTACGGCTCTTTATAGAAGAAAAGTCAACTCTATTGGTGGGTTATGCAACACACAGTTAACTGCGATTCCTGTCTAAAGTAGGAATGGAAGGAAAAATGAAATAAATAGCACTTAGTAGTCTCCGACAAGCTAAGTTTACTGTTCAGCAAAAACTACTGTGCGTAGAACCGAGACAACGTACTTCCTGCCTTCGACTCTGAGTTATGTGTAAAAAGTAAAGCAGGAAATTGTTGGGTGGTTATGTACCTTGGACTGGGAAAAGTTTCATACGCAAATCTTTCTCGGGACTCCTTCTTAGTGGATGTGAACTTTTCACTATACCACATACCGGAAATGAATGGATTATTTACCAGTTAACTAAGATCGTTCATCAGTGTTTTTAATCAAGTATAAAATTGAAACGGCGTTGTCCGACAGCTCGATTAATGCCTTAAATTTTTTTTCTTCGGAATTGGGGTGTTGGTCATGCATGGTGGCAGCTCGCGAACACCTTTTATTTGAGTTTGTTTCGCACTCTGAGAAAGTCGTTACTGCATTTCATATTAATCTAGAGAATCACTTTTTTTTCTCTACTCCGGTCACGCGAGCCAGACCTTCCCCTTTTTATGACATTTAGGTCGGAGGGTGTGTAGCAGGGAGGCGGCTCATTTCGCATTCGAATTTGCCTAACCTGGCAAGAGAGATGGATATTACATAGGGGTACTTTGGGGCCTCCAAACTCCCAATTCAGGTTGTTTTGAGAAATTTGGCTGCAGATAAAAGTACTGCCTTTTAGTGGAG